TTTTTTAAAGTGCATCTTAACCTCATTTGATAAACCAGTGGAAGCAAATCTGGGAAAAAAAAAAGCTAAAAAGAGAACACATTACTTGACTTGCCCTAACGTCAATCTGATTTGCTACAAGCAGAATCTAGGAGATCTTACTATGACCTTTCCCCATTAACTGTGTCCTGTCTCTCTCCTCTCTCTTTCTCTCTCAGTCTAAATAATTGGAGTTTAGCCTCAGGCTTATGCAAATTATTCTCTGCAGTTGCTTGAATCTTACTAGGGTGAAAAATGAGTCATCTCATTTCCCTAAGCATCACAATTCCCTCTTTTGGTCTGTAAACAAATGTTTATTAAGCATCTGCTATATGTAATATATTATGCTGGTGCCTTGAAGAAATTGTAAAGATGAAAAGACTTGACCCTTTCCCCTCAAGGTGATTACAATCTGATATAGATGAGATGATAAATGCAATACAAATTAGGATATAATAACTGCACAAGAGGTATACGAAGTGGTGTGAAATTATTGGAGAGGTAGCTTTCACCAGATCAGAAAAGGCTGTGTTTTGGAATGATTGAATATTGGCCGTGGGGAAGTGACAGCATTATACTTACTCTGGGCGTACAGGGAAAAGAGAACTATTAGATTGACTTTAGGTCTGACCATGTTAAATAGCCACATTTTGGGTTCGTGTAATTTTGAGTTATTAAATGTGATTACAAGATTCAGGAGTTCTTTTGTTATTCTTGTTATAGGTGTCATATTCAAGAATCTGAGAGCTCTGGGACCGCAAAGTTCATCTAGTCCAATTCATACATGACCAGGAAATCGTTCCACAATATTTCCAACCAGTGGTCATCCAGTTTGAAGACTTCGGTAAAGCTGGGATCCACCACCTTCTGAGAATGCATTCCACTTTTGGATAGCACTAATTATTAGTGAGTTTTTCCTTTCATCAAGCTTAAATTGGCCCCTTTGCTGTTTCCACCCATTCCCCCTCGCTTTGCCTTCTGGGGCCAAATAGATAGGTGAAGCTGTTGTATCCCCTCTAAATCTTTCCTTCTCCATCATGGGTTCCTCCAGTCTTTTCACAGTCCTCTTTGGATTTCTTTAAGGTGTGTGTAGTGTGGGGGCAGGAGAAGGCAGGGTGCTGGTGAATTTAATACAAATATTTATTAAGTACATGCTAGATAACTGGGGATACTTAAAAAAAATGGCTCCTCATCTCAAGGAGCTTGCATTACTTGTAGTTTGTGGTTTTCCTGGTTCTCTTATAGGTTCTTATGTGCCCCAGAGAGCTTGAATACTGAACCCTCATTAGGAAAAGAAGGTCTATATTTGGGGGTAGGTGACTTAATTGAGAAGCAAATCTGAGGGGTTTTGGTATATGTTAGAGCAGTTTGTGAAAAAGGAATGTCAGCTTCCTCTCTTCTCTTTCTTTGCAGAGGTGGAAGACTATAAGGAATACTATGTATATGTATATACATATACACATTTGTGTATGTACACACATATATACATAGAAAGATGGATCTGTTCTTTATTATAGGGGATGGCTTTACAGGAGAGGGAGTTTGGAGGAAATCGTTGGGAAAGATAAATGATGTATTTTTTTACAAGATGGAAAAAAATGGATGCTAAACATAGGGCATAATTGGAGCTGCTCTAAAAGTTAGTATTTCTTTATTTGCTAATACATCTGAATTCAACTTTAATCTCTCGTGAGCTGCAGACTTGCATTACCAAAAGCCTGCTAACCATCTCCACCCCAATGTCCCATAACTATCTCAAACTCAAATGTGTCCAAAATAGAACTCATCTTTTCTGGCTAAAACTTCCTTATCTATTATAGACACCATCATTCTTCCAGTCACCCAGATTTCTTTCTCTCCCATGTCCCATATCTAATCTTGTCAAGTCTTAGTTTCACCTCCACAACAGTTTTAGTACCTGTTACCTTCTCTCTGTTTACTTGTCTACTGCTGTAGTTCAGTCCCTCTCACCTGGACTATTTCCATAACCTAATTAATTAACCTGCCTCAAATCTTTCCCTTCTTGAACTTTGCCCCTGGCTCTTACGGGTGAGTTTTAGCCTGATCTTTCCTGGAACCAGTCCTCCATGCTGCTTCCTGGCCATGTCCACACCCTGCTGACCGGTGTGAACTTCCTTCCAACTCCCCTTTATGGGTTGATGTCTCCCATTAGAATGTAAATTCTTTGAAGGCAGGGACTACCTTGTTTGCTTATATTTGTATCCCCAGAGCTCAGCACAGTGCCTGGCCCATAATGCTTAATAAATGCTCTGTCTGTTTCTGTAACTCTTCTAATCCATCCTCCACACAGCTGCCAAAGTAATTTTTTGCTCAGGAATCTCTTGTGGTTCCCTATTGTCTCTACAGGAAATGTATGGCTGTTCAGGGAAGACTGTCACCCTGTGGTGTGAGGGCTTGCCGAGTCCTTTTGCTCATCTACTTGTGGTGTCCATCTCTCACTCAACTCTCACCTGTGGCTCTGAGAAGTTGTAGTATGTGCAGCAGCCACATTCCGGTAAACTGTTTCAGCAGATGGGCTAACCCAGCTTGAGGATAACCGACAGGCCTCAAAGCCAACATGAGTTAGGGGCATATCTACCCCAAGTATGTGAAGACTTCTGGTGGAATGGGTGGATGAGAATATTTTGTTCCATTGGGCCATGAAGGTGGCAGAAGCAGGCGATGTAGGGCACTTAAGCTTGGTCGGACACTGGTCTCCGAGGTCATCCACTCTGTTCTGGGCCATCACCAGTCTACCTGACTTTGGTCCTGCCACTGGACTCTACAAGAGAGTGAGGCTGATGACTGTCCAGTTCTGCCTCACTTAAATCCGACTCCTGCACGAGTCAAGACATCACCCATCATCCACATGAAGTTGCAGATTCCTTAGTTCCCTGTGTAAAGACCTTCACGAGTCAATGCCAGCTGACCTTTCCAAGGCTTCACGTTTCTTCTCTTCACACATTTTCTGCTCCAGCCAAATCGGTCTACTTGCCATTCTCTCTCCTGCCTCTGTGCTTTGCAGGGGCTGTGACTGATGCCTGGAATGTGTACCTCACCTCTGCCTCATAACTTCTTGCAAGGACCAGCTTAAGTGGCAGGTCCTCCAAGAAACCTTTTCTGATTTCCCTGGCTGTCAGTGCTCTCTCTTTCTCCTCAAATTCTATTGCATTTACTTCTCTATGTGAATATTGTAACCCCACCACCACCACCCATGTAGGCTCTTTCAGGGCTTTTTTGTCTTTTCATCCCCACTGCCTAGTACAGTGCCTTGTATAATGTAGGTACTTAATAAATGCTTGTTGAATAAATGAATTCAATTCGAGTTCTAAAATAACTTTGTGTGTTCCTAACATTATCTGAAATAGTCTGACGCTAACAGTTAATTTTTTGATCATTGTGGGATTTAGAGTAGAAGGGACCTTAGAGTATTTAATCCAACTCCTTCATTTTACAAATGAAAACAGGCCCAGAAAGGGGAAATGATTTTTCTAAGGTCATTGTGATCATCTTTAAAAATAAAACAAAAAAACTCTAGTTTTTATTGGGGTCTACCCTTTCTTGTGATAGGATAGTTTCACTCTATACTGGCTCTTCTTCCCTTTTCTGGAAAGTTCTCAGCTCCATGCTTGGGCATTTGGGGCCTTGGCAGTCAACCCCTAGTAATCTCCCTGTCTGTGATATTAGAGACTGGAAACTAATGAGGTATTCCTAAGTGTGAGAACCTGCATCATCCTCTGCATAAAACTCATGGCCCCTTACCTGCATCAATAAGTTACTGGTATGGAGTTGCTTTAAAAAAAGAAAAAAACAACCTAGGAGTCCCATCAGCCAGGAGATGTGACATAATAAAAGCCTGACAGAACCTGGCTGTATGTAGGCAGCCTCACATAGGATCATTGACCCCATTCCTCTGCCAGTAGTTTCCTGAAGAGCATTAAAGTTCTAGTGACTCAAGTTACATCCACAATTGTCCCTCCCTTTCCTCCTTTAATTTATGTTAGGCCTCTAGTCTTTCCTTATGTGAGTTAAAATGTTTAGAAATAAAGGCCTTTTGCTTTCAGCATTACTGGCTTGTTTGACTCTTGTGATATTTCCCTAAATCCCCAAAATTCTGTTATGGACAGGGACAGAAAAAGGTATTTATATAGATGCTAAGTATCAGGGCCAAGATTCGAAACCTTTGACTCCACATCCTGTCCTCTCTTCTATGCAAACCTGCTTCTAGTGTGGGTCATTTCTTGTGTCATGAAACCTTTTGGCAGTCTGATGAAGCCTATAGATCTCTCCTCATATTCATGTTTCAAACGTATAAAACAAAGTACATAGGATTACAAAAGAAACCAATCATATTGAAAAACAATTAACAAAATATTTTAAAAAAGCATGTTCATGTACTTCGGGCTAAGGATCTTTGCTGTAGACAGTAGCATTACTACCCACAAGTTGTAGAGTCCAAAATTCCCAGAACAAGTGGCAGGGGGAGGTAGAAGTCCTCTTGGAGCCCTGTGGATTCCAGTATTAGGTCCACCCCTCTAAAACTAGCAACAGTTACTGTAGAGGAAAAAGTGTGGCTTGAGCATTTGCTCTTCTACTCTTCCTTCGTTTGGGAAGAGGGCAGGAGCAGAATCCTTCTGAAACCATACCTTTTTTCTTCCCTTGGCCCCTTTGTTTTGTTTTTTAAAGATATTTTGTTAAAAGATGTTTAAAAGATATATTTTTAAAAGATATGTTAACTATATTTCAGTATAATTGATGTTCTTTGTAATGCTATGTAATTTATTTTATTCATTTAAAAACATGCTTCTGAGAAGGGGTACGTAGACTGCCATGGCACAAAAAAAGGTTAAGAACTACAGAGTTAATTAAGCAAGCTACAACTTTAATGGCTAAGATGTTATTCCTTAGTATGGAAAAGTTTGGCCTAGAATCAGAATTTTGTGATGTCTTGAACTATTCAGAATTGGAATCCTAGTGGAAGGCACGGTACAGTGAGGCATCAAGCTTAAGGAGCTGAGAGCGAGAAAGCTAATATCTGGGCATTTGCTTTCTGTAGCACACTGTAGCTCCTAAGCGCTTCTCAGGATAAGCTTCAGGAATTGTTTCTTCTGGAAAGTGCAGTCCTTCACACGTTGTGGCCGTGGTGAAAATGTTTACAACAGCCTCCTCTAGCACCACTTTCAGGTATCTCCAGAACACAGTACTCGTGATGCTCAAGAGCATGGATGTCGAACTGAAGGTTTCTGGTGTTTGAGTCAGTGTAATAAATAGCTCACATTTCTATAGCTATAACCTTTAAAAAGAACTTTTCTCAGAACAAGTCTGTGGCATAGATAGGCCATGTGAGTATTATTATGCCCATCTTATTGATGAGGAAGCTAAGGCCCAGAGTGATAGGAAGTGCCCAGGGCCACATGGCTGGTATCAGAGCTAGGGTCTGGAACCCAGGTAACCTGACTGCAGAAGTAGTATCATTGTATTCTGTTATATAGCCTCTGACTCTCTTATGGCTGGGTATTTGATGATTATCATCATAGCTGTCTTCTAGGTTTTCAAAGGACTTTCCATATATTATCTCATTTGGGCTTCATAACAATCTTGTGAAGTAGGTACAGTAGTTATCCCTGTTTTCCAGATGAGAAAACAGACTTAGAGAGATTGAGCCTAGGGTCCACACAGCTAGAAAGTGTCTGAGGCACTATTCAATTTCAAGTCTTCTTGACTCTCCAATGCCATGTTACAAGCAGAGAGGGGAAACTAGAGCCTGGAAAGACAAAATCCTCCAGTAAGAATGGAGGGAAAAAAAATCAGGCAAAAAATTCCTTTAAAGTAGATAGTTTTTGTACAGCTCAACCTTCACAAGGACAACTCTCTTGGTAAGATGGATTCATTTATATTTTCCTTCCAATGCCTTTTGGTATCGTCAGGTAGAATTAATCGTAAAATAGTAGTGGAATGGTGGGGAAGTAGGCTTCTGGTAACCAGATCTCTGGCTTTTGTTGTTCAGTCGTGTCTGACTCGTTATGACCCCATTTGTGATTTTCTTGGATGAGATACTAGAGTAGTTTGCCATTTCCTTCTCCAGCTCATTTTACAGATGAGAAAACTAAGGCAAACAGGGTGAAGTGACTTGCCCAGGGTCACACAGTGTCTGAGGCTGGATTTGAGCTTGGGTTTTCCTGACTCCTGGCTTGGCACTCTGTCCACTGTGCCACCTAGCCTGCCAGATCTGTAGCTTAGTATACTCAATAATAATGGTGATCATTCTAAATAGAACTTCCATTTCAACAAGTCATCTATTTTTCTGCACAAGTAGTAACAGCTGAAAGCCTTGACAGAGTTCTGAAGATCATATTCCCAAAGACGAGGAAGTGAAAGGTAATTATTCTCCTTGAGAAATATTGTATGGTTTTCTTGTATTGGTGGTGGTTGACTTTGTATTCCAGTGCCAAGCACAAAGTAGGTGCTTAATAAATGTTTATCAAAATAAATCAATAGATCATTTACTTTAAACAATTTTTTATCAAGCACATACTATGGTCTAGGCATTATGCTGGTTCCTAAGGAATATGGAAACAATACTACAGAAGGCAATCCCTGCCTTCAAAATACTGTCCACTTTAAGAGAAAGAACTATGGGGTCTGAATGCAGATCAAAGCATACTATTTTCACATTTTTTTTATTTTCTGGGTTTTTTTGTGGCCCTTTTTATTTTGTTCTTTCACAATATGACTAATGTGGAAATAAGTTTAACGTGATTGCACGTGTATAACCTATATCAGATTGCTTGCCATCTTGGGGAGGGGAAATGGGAGGGAGGGAGAAATATTTGGAACTCAATCTTATAAACAAAGAACAAGATAGAAGTATAAATAATATAGAATATATAGAGAGAGAATAATATAGAAATATAAATAAGAATTAAAATTTATAAAAAGGAATGTTGAAACCTATCTTTACATGTAATTAGGAAAAAAATACTATTTACTAAAAAAAAAAGTTCCTGCCTTCAAGTTTATCTTCTATAGAAGGGGTGGAACATGTGCGTTTGTATGTGTGTGTGTGTGTGTGTGTGTGTGTGTGTGTGTGTGTGTGTGTGTGTGTGTGTGTGTGCGCATATGTGTGTGTATTTATATACACATATATATACACACATACAAAATAAATACAAGGCAGTTTGGGGGAGAGTGGACATTTTCCAGGTAGTACAGTGCTTGGAAGGATCAGGAAGTTTCATTTGAAGGAAACTAGGAAATCTAAGAGGTGGAGGTGAAAAGGGGACTATATTCTAGGTGTTCTAGATAGCTGGTACAAAGGTGATGAGAGATAGAATGATGTGTGTGAAGAGTAGTAAGGATTGTTGACTGAATCATAGAGTACATGAAGGGGAATAACATATGCTAAGCCTGTAAAGGTAGGTTGGGACCAGGTTGTGAAGGGCTTTAAATGCTAAACAGAGGGTTTTGTATTTGATTTTTTTGTATTTTGTATTTGACTTTTGCGTATTATATCTAGGAAATAGCCACTATGGTTTATTGAGCAAGAGAATGGCATGGTCAGACCTTTGTATAAGCAAAATCATTTTGCTAACAGTTTGAATGATGGATTACAGGGAGACCGATTAGGAGACTATTACAGTAGTTCAAGTAGAAGGTGATGAAAGCCTGAACTTGAATGTTGGCTGTATGAGTAGGGAGAAGGGAGGTCGATATAAGGAGAAGTTGAAAAAATTGGACTTCTAGGATTCAAAGAACAGCAACTGTAACCTGGTACCAGGGGGATGCCTTATTCTATCTCCATTCTCCCCTCTATTCCTTGTGTAGGACAGACCACTTCCTTCTTATGGAGACTGGCAGACTCGATCCTAGGAACTGAGCTTCACTTTTAATGAGCATAACTCCTATACAGATGTGCCTCCCTCATGAAGGTCTGTATTTCTAGCCCCTTAGACTTTCAGACTTTTTTTTTTAGAACAAAAATATAGTTCTGTTAGCATCAGGGTTTGGAGAATATTCTGGGCAGAGGATTTCTGTAGAAAATCTTCCAGGCAGTATTTAATGTTATAGTGTTGATAATTTACCCCCATTGCCTGAGTTGTTGCCTAACTGGCAGTTGGAAAGGTGTGGAAAGAGCTGGGCCAGACGAACTCCAGGGAGAAATAGAGCCAAGTGATAGAACTGAGACCCTCTGCCTGAACAGAACATATGAGGATGGGAGGAAAGGGCTAACTGAGCAGAAACGCTGGCCCAAGACAAAGCCAGGGCCCTTGATGCTTTATAACCAAACCAAAGAGTTCAGAGTATTCTGGTCATCAGTGCTGGAAAATTATCATTTCTTACCCTTTGGTGGTTTAAGATGACAAGAGTATAGATTTCAAGCTAAGAGAGACTTCAGAGGCCATCTAGTCTAATTCTCTCATTTTACAAATGAGGAAACTGAGGCTCGGGAAGCAAAATGAGTTACCCAAGGCTATATGAGTAGTGTTAGAACCCAGGTTCTCTGGTTCCAGAACTGATTCTCTTTAATTTACACCACATTGCCTAGCATCCTCCATTTCTCAATAGGTTTGGGCTGGACAATAATTCGGGCATTTCCGTAGCCTCAATCTTATATTCCCTACTCTTTCTGTTCTTTTCATTATAGGCTAAGGCAAGCCCACACAATCATCTGCCTTCAACAATCTCCCGAGTTCTACAAACAACTTTTCAATAAGCCATATTAAGAGAGGCCTGAGGTGGTAGGGAAAGAGGGGTTGAATTACATAGGTCTTTTAGGTTCATGGCCTAGCTTTCTCCCATTAGAATGTGAAGTGCTTGACAGCAGGAAGTGTTTTGGTTTTGCCTTTATTTCATCCCACACCTGGCGTAGTACCTTGAACCAAGCAGGACTTAATAAGTATAATCCCCCTTCTGCCCAAGCTTCAGGCAGTATTTCTGAGGCACAGTCCTGTGATGCTATACTATATCCCCCGAAGGAGATGTGACTGAGGGACCCCTCTGAGCCAGGGTGCTAGGTATGGGGCTGATAACTTCAGAGGACTTTGAAAGAAGTATTTGAGAGAAACAAGGAGATCTCCCTGGAGCTGCAGACATGGGGAATACAACACCCAGTGTACCCTCGATTACCATAGGAGAGACTGTCTTGTCTTGGAAGTCCTGGATCCTACTTATCCCATCCCAGTAAACTCCTGGAAGGTAGGTATAGCCCTCTTCTTCCTCAGAAAAGCATTGTGTTCTCCCTTAGAAACTTGGTGGGCTAGATTCCAGATGGTATCCATCCATGCCACATTTGAGCCAGCCATAATCTATTTTAGGTGGCTACCAACCACATACTTTACATGAGTATTTGTTCAGTTGAGCAATATAGAACAGCTCTGGATTTCAGAGTGCTGTGATTTCAGCTTCTTCCTTTCTCTTTCATGCTTCTGGGATAAGTGCATGCAGATATCAGCTTACTTTCTGAAATGTCTTTATGCCTTGGACCTTCACAAAAGTTTGGGATTATAAGTTAAACCTATGGAAAATTAAAACCCAAGAATGCCCTCAGCCCAGGGGGTACTGGCTTGAATTTACCCCTAGCCAGGAATAGCACGTAGTTGTACTACCTGCAGCTGGGACCATTGACATGGATTCTGCTCCATTACCAATTTCTCCCTTACTAAACCAAACCAAGTGATGTCTAACCTTGAAGTTGGCATCATAAATTGGCTCCCTCAGAGATGAGCTCTACCACTTTGGCTGCTATATTTATTCTGTTGTAAGAAAGCAGATACTGCCATCCTCTACTTAGGGCAAATTAGACTTGGAGAAGATTCCTAAGGATCTGCAATGAATATGATGTAGAAGACTCCCCACATCCAGGTAGAGGGGCAGCTGATTAATAAAAGCAAATTCATCTAAGGCTCTGCAGCACCCTGGACTTGCCATGAGTCACCTCCAATCAATTATAGCCTTCTCGGGTGTCTGGGAAGAGTGCTTTAGTAGGAAACATTAAAACAAACAAAAAGGAATCTTTAGTTTACCTCTGGGATGGGAAGAATCTCTCAACCAAACTGTCATCTTGAGTAGCCCACTAGCCAAAAACAGATGAGCTGGGGAGGAGGAGGGGAAAGGGTGCAGTCAGAATAATAGTTTGGCTGAGAGGGGGCCCCTGACTCCCTCAGCACCGATGTGAAGGAGTTGTGGGCAGCACTAGAAATCAGGTATTAGCAAATTCCTCAGCGGAATGGGTGGGTGCTTTGTCTCCCTTCTGTCTGAACTGTTGAAGGTTGGGATTAGGGTAGATCTTTTAGGATCCCTGTTTTCTAGAACAAGTTTAAAAATGTTACCATACATAGGTAGGCTGGGCAGTTAAGCTATAGGTTACAGAAAGGTGACATATGAAGAACCCTCCATGTGTGTCTTTGGGTGCCCCTATGTTATGTATGCATAAGCCTCAAGAGAGTCTTACATACTATTATGCACTGCAAATGGCTTGAAATCTATAGCACAGAATATGCAAAGGATTGGGCGGTGATAACTATCATAGATAGGGTCAGCAAGGGCTATGCCCTTGACATCCATCATCTTCTGTACTTTTCCCTGTTCTCTTGGGGAGGCCTGTGTCGGGTCACAGCAGAAGAGTATTGAGTATCTAGAACTTTATTTCCCCGGTTCTGGTGTTCAGTTCTCTCCTCACTCCCCCCTCCCCCTTTATTTCCTTGAAATTTCATATTTATATATTGGTCTGCCTTGGATAAGGGCCACAATGAGACACATTTCAGTGGAACAGGAATCAAGCCTGGCCAAACAGACTTGCCTTGGGAGCTCATGTTGGACAGAAATAAGAATTTAAGGAGATAACAAGATTCAGATTTGATGAGCTATGACTCTTAACATTTTGAATTAGGCAGGACCCTGACATTGGCAGACCCAGTCAAAAGAAGTGAGAAAACCATCTAATCCTATTGCCAGACAACTCATCTCAGCAGTGATTCACTCTCAGAAAGCTTCGTTCTTATTTTGGCTGAGGCTCCCTTCAGTTTCCCCTCCCTTGTGTTTTCATTTGGGTTGTTACCCTTCTTGGTCTCTGCTTGCTACCCTTATAGTTGTCTGAATGTGGGCTCTGGTGTTTGTAGGATCATTATCTACTTGGATTTAACACTTCAGCTTCCCAGTCTTTTCTATGTTCTGCCAGGTGCCCCCATACTCCTGAAGTTCAGCGTTTCTCATCATTTCAACATTAACAGCTCAACGTGGCACTGTTGCCCACTTGACTCCCACTCAGCCAGAAATTCAGGTTTGTGGGCAGCTAAAGGCTAGACCCCTTAGGTCTGGCTGGGCTATGACAGATGAATGTACCACGTCACACAGATCACCAAACCTCAGCATGTTATCTGAAGAGAAGTTAAGTTCGTTGTAGATATACCCTTAACCTTTGAAGAATAATGACCATTCTTTCTCACAAAGTGTTCCTTGGTGCCATCTAAAATGGAATCTTGGGCTGAAAGGACCAGAGATTTGTTCTGATTTTACAATCCTATTCAAGACCATTTTTTTTTAAAGGATAACCTCTTTGCTGGAGCTGTTTTCTGTATTTGTGGGGTTGAATGTAGGTGTATGACATTCTGAGCAAGGCTTTTTAAATCCGTGTAGAATTACCAGTCTTCCCAGACCTGCTTGGATAATTACTTTTCTCCCTCCTTTGTGTGAAATGCTAGAATAAATAAGAAAAAAATCAATAAGTGTGGCGAGAGTATGAGTTTGGTTTAGCTCAGGGCCAGGCAGACATATGTGAGATGACATTTTTATGAAGACTTCAATCTACATTTGCTGGTTGGAGCAGTGAGTGATTGCTTTAATGGGCTTGGCATTGGGATTTTGACTCCCACATTCTCTGTGGGGAAGGAGAACAGCTAGGCCCTCTGGAGCCTGGGTGGAGGTGTGGGGAATAGCAACCATCTGCTCTATTTTATCCAGGTTGGGTTTCCCAAACTTAGGCCACCTGACTGAAAGGCATTTTTATTGGCCTTAGTTTATACCCATAACCAACTTGGATGAATTCTAAAGCTTACACCATAAGCGATGGCAGAGGGAGTGAGCTTCCTGACCTTAGGGCCCTGGGTGCTGGCCACAGCAGGCAGGAGAGGCCTTTTAAAAGTGATAGATGCTCATTTGTGTGCATTTTTATTATTTTTTTTCCAGATGGATGACTGCACATCAGCAAGTCTTGAGTCACATAACTATTTAGGCCACACACACATAGAGATGTTGCACAAACCTCACCCTGCTGGCTATAGCAAATGTACAAAGAGATTTACACGGGTTGAATTAGCAGACTGATTAAAATAAGCCACTGCACAGTGGAACACAGACGTTGGGTCTCGCTGACTCTCCCATCTGTTGGCATTCTCTTGTTCCTTAAGAAGTCCAATCTGGCTGTTGAGGCAGCCACACTCATGGCAGCTTCTCTGGTGACCCACTGGCAAATGTAGAGGGTCCCTCTCAGTCCATTATTCTGTGTCTCACCACCTCTGACCTTGCTCAGCTCTCTAGAATTAATGTAGGCCCAGGGGAACCATGTATAGCCATTTCCCTTGGCTTGACTATTCCACCCCTGTTCTAGCTGAGGCCAAACAGAGACAAGTGGTACCCACAAAGAATGACCTTCATGGGGAATATAAGAAGGACCTGAGCTCTAGTGAGACTTAGGCTGGGAAGGGCTGACCCAGGCTCACACACATAATAGGAGAGCAGGGATTGGCCACAACAGCGCTCAGACGACACCGGGAGAAGATGCCGAGTGGCCAGCAGTGGCAGGGGCTGTGCCCTCTTGTCCCTTTCTTCACTGACCCAAGAAGTCCACGCTCTAGGGGCTGACTTTGGGGTTCCCATTACTGTAGGATCGGAGAAATGATGCTGGCTTCTTGTAACCCCTATTATCTGGTGCAGTCTGGTGCACTGGTAGAGCCCCCCCAGGTAAGGGCAAAGTGGGAAACAGGAGATGGGGCAGTTTCAACAAGATAAGGGGCATGGGACTAGTCCTATAAAGTGCTAAATTGTTAAAAATCACAATTGTACACACTTGGGCAACATGCCCCTCTCCCAGCTTGATTGCACAATGGGATTTTATATATATATATGTATATATGTATATATACTTTCCTTTTTAAAAAGACAGCTCTTTCCCAATGGTTGGATAAACTGCTATACATAACTCCTGTATTCAGCATGCGCGTGGGGAGGGCCATGCAACAGTGAGGGACTCCCTATTGCTACACTCTGTACATGACGGCTGGGCCCCACCACGCCCATGGCCCTAGTGGCAGAATTAGGGTTGCCTTTGATCCCTTCTGCCTCGTAAAGTTTTTTTGTTTTGTTTTGACCCCGTTGAAATGGGGGCTCTGAAGACAAGAGGGTGGGGGTGGCCCCAAGGCCGCAGGAGAGCCCTCCAGGGGCTACATAACATTGCATTGGGTGGCCCCACAACAATCTTTAATGAGTGCGATCCCAGTCTTGGCAACTGTAGGCTTAGTAGGTGGGGGTTCTGCCTTCTTCTCTGCCGGAGAACCTGTGGTAGGAGATGAATGAACATAGGATGTGGTGGTGGATCATAATAAAAGTCCCCTTCATCTTGCATCCATATCTCCCACCTGCCCAACTCCCTGCTGGAGCAGAAAGAATTTAATCAATTTCACTTTTTTTTAAGCTCCTCTATTTTATCTACCCCCTCAGCCCAAACAGGTACTGACTTGGACTGTATTGAGGGAGTAAAGCATAGAGGAAGTTCTGCAACAAGAGCTAAATGTTAGTAAAGAAAAAAAATATCACTGGTGTGCCTAGTTGTTTGCATGTTTGTCTCCATTAGACTGTAAGTTCCTTGATGCCGGGGCAAAAGCTGTGCTTTTGCCTTTCTTTGTGTCCCCAGAGCTTAGCACAATGCCTGGAACACAGCAGGTGCTTCATAAATCCTTTTTGACTGACTGGTGTACATTTTATTTTAAAATGCAATTTATGTACACTGATATTTTTGCAGAGGGCATACATGATCTCCACTCTTATAACAATCATGTGAGGTAAGTACTATTGCGATGATTTTACAGATGAAGAAACTTATGGTCAAAGAGGTTTACTAAAGACTTTGCTCTTGGACATCCAACTAGCAAGTGTCTGAAGCAGGCTTTGCACTCAGGTCTTCCCAACTCTGGGTCCAACTATCTTGTTACACCTAGCTCTGAGGATAGAGGAGAAACTACACTTGGCTTCTATGGGGAGAACAAGAGCCTTCCTATGTGACCATGGGCTTTAATTAACTGACCACTCAATCTCTTAGAGATTTGATTTTCTTCCCATGTGAAAAATGAGGATCATAATATGTACTTAATCTATCTACCACATAGGGCTGTAGTGAGGAAAATACTTTGTAAACTTGGAAAGTGCTATAGAAATGTCAGCTGTTACCATCATTAATAACATCCCTCTCTCTCTCTCTCTCTCTCTCTCTCTCTCTCCCCCCTCCCCCTCTCCCACCCTCTCCATCTCCTCCCTTCCTCTCTTTTTCTCTCTCTCCTACCCACCCACCAGCTCATCTGCATGAGCTTGCAGAGGGCAGATTAGCCTCTCACTTCTACCAATTTAACAGCATTTTCTTCAGCTCATTAGTTATTTCTTTCCTTTCTTCAGAGCTTCAAACAATATCATGAAGAATGTTTAATAGTTCCCAGTCAGAGGGATGCTCCCTGGGAGGAAGTAGCCACTTTCTCCAAGGATCCAAGGGTCTTTCCTGGCTTGGGGTTTCAGCCATGAGACTGAGACATCAGGGTTCCTGCCCCTCATCTTTCTCTTTTTGATCTGATAGCAGTAAGCTTCTCCCTTTTATTTAGAGGTAGTATGGTCTTGTGGGTACTATAGGGGATACCGTACATCTCTAGGAGGTGGCTAGAGAGCTGGGCCTGGAGGCAGGAAGACCTGAGTTCAAATTCTGCCTCAGACATTTACTAGCTGCAGTCACTTAACCTCTGCTTGCCTTAGTTTTGTCAACTGTAAAATGGGGATGATTAATACTACCTAATTCCTAGTGGTACTGTGAGGATCAGATGAGATGATGTTTGTAAAGTGCTTAGCACGCTGCCTGGCACACAGTAGGTGCTACCTAAATGCTTCTTTTCTTTCATCCTGGATAGAGTGCTGGCCATGTCTCCAGGATAATCTGAGTTTGAATCCTCCCTAGGGTACTTACTATAACTGTATGACCCTGGGTAAAGCATTTCATCTTTCTAAGCTTCAGTTTTCTCATCTGTTAAATAGGCATAACAACAGCATCTGCCTCACAGGACTCTTTTGGGGCTAAGTATATGTAAAATATTTCACAAAACCTAGGACTCTATATCAGTGTGAGCCCTTATTCCTATTCTGCTGACCCTTGCCTAGTGCCACATTGGGGAAGGTTGTTCAGGCCAAGACTAGTTCCTTCATGGATATTGGGTGATGGTGGAATTTGTGCCACGTATTCCTATAAGGGTCTGCTTAGGGAGGAGGGACCAGTGTCTTTGTACCCTACCCCTACTCCATCAGGGGAGACTTGCTCCTGCAGCCCTCAGCCTCAATCCCCACATTTCTGCCTACGTGAACACACATCTCCATGTATGAAAACCACTGGGTCATGGATCTAAATGTGGAAAGGACCTTGAAGGTTCACTAGTCCCATCCCCAGGCCCAGGGAAATAAAATCACTTCTGCTCTTTAGTCTCACTGCTTTCCCCACTCTAGTCCATCCTTGGTTAATGTGATCCTCCTAAACTGCAGGTCTGACCATGTCGCCAGCCCTACTTAATAAACTCCCAGCGGCTCCCTATCACCTCCAGGATTGAATACAAAATCCTGTGATGTTCAAAACCCTTCATAACCTCCCCTGACCCCCAAAGCCACCTTTCTAGTCTTCTTACACATTATACTTCCTCTCCCACATACTTCGTAATCTGATGGAACTGGCCTCCATGTTGTTCCTCAGACAAGATAATTATCTCACACCTCCATGCATTTTCACGGGCTGTCTTCTCTCCCTCCTCAGTTCTGCCTCCTGGCTTCCCTGGCTTCCTTTAGGTCCCAGCTAAAATCCTATCTTCTACAAGAAGCTTGTCCCAATCCCCCTTAATCCTAGAGCCTTCCCTCTCTTGACCATCTCCAATTTATCCTGTGTGTGTGTGTGTGTGTGTGTGTGTGTGTGTGTGTGTATGTATGTGTATGTATATCTATCTATCTATTGTTTGTACATACTTGTTTGCATGCTGTCTCCCCTCATCAGACTGAGTTCTTCAAGAAGTTGGGGGACTGTCTTTTGCTTTTCTTTATCTCCTCAGTGGTTAGGCCAGTGACAGTGGCATAGTAGGTGCTTAATTAGTGTTTATTGCCTGGCTAATTGCCCAAGGTGGCAGGTCTGGGATTCAAAACTCAGCTCCTGTGACTCCAGCCTCAGGGCTCTTTCCCCTGAACAAAGAATAGACAAGGATAGATATTGCCCTCTCATGGATTTTCTGGAAAGCGTTTCATTTTTTTCACTGAAAGTACTCTGACATAAATGTTGAACATCTAACCCATTCCCAGCCCCACCTCTTCTCGGGGGAAAAATAGAGACCAAGACACTCACTGGCTGGAGATTTGGTTACTTTTTCTAAAGGTTTTAACTTGATTCTCAGAAATTCTGCCATTTCCTTGTCTTCTTCTTGTTCCCTGTTAGGGCAGACATGTGAAGAAAGGAGAGAAAAGGCCTATGAACTATAAAAGCACTAAAGAGTCATAAAATCTGTAATAAAAATAGGAAAAGGATAAAGTACCATGGGGGAGGGATGTTAAGGTGTGGCCTGAGGTATGTCAAGTTTTATGAGCCACATTGAGAGCCAAAGCTCTTCCTGTGCCTGGGTAGAAATCTGACTAGGGCTTCCCCTCTCTTCCCAGATCTTGATGAAATGGGCCATACTCAACTGCAGAGTTGGGGTGTGTGTGGTTCCCTGGTCACTAACTTCTGACTTCTGAAGACAGCCATCCTTTTTTGATGAAGTCCTTACTGCT